ACTCGCCTTCACCGTCGTCTTCGTCTGATGGGTCATCATAGATGGCTCCGCCTCCGCGTCGTCTGCTGTTGGCTCTACTGGTGGAGCTTCAGGTTTGTGTGGGGAACTGGAAACAGGTGTAGTGAGATCGTCGTCCTGGATAGGCTGCAGTTCGACGTCCAAAGGTTCGCGCTCCTCAAGGTCCTCAGAGATCGCATCTTGAGAGTCGCCGTTTTCGGTAGGGGTCAGAGGGGGCTCCTCCGCCTCAGACTCGGCAGCGTCTTCAGGCGCACTTTCCACATTATCGTCTGGCTGGGCCTCCGCCGGAACCGGTGAGCTCTCTGGAGCCGGGACTAGCTCCTCCGATGGCGTCACCTCGGGGTTCGTCTCCAGGACCCGTGCGGATGCCTTCGCTTTTTCGTCGAGCTCGTAAGTGAGAGCAAGGACGCACAGATCCGGCGTGGAGAGCACGGAGTAGTCTCCAGTCTTCTTGGCCCATTGGATCACTGGGATCGCATCTCAGCGTCCTGCCGGCCACCACGCAGAACGACGCACCATGGGCAACCGACGTAGACAGCGGTGCCTTGATTTCTATTCTCACCCCCGCGGACAACGCGAGCCGTTCGAAGTGTTCACGCGCTCGCTTGTCCTTGAGCTCGTCCAGGACCTGGGGACGGTGTAGAAGGTTTCCGCGAGCCCCCGCAAAGGCGAAAGCGAGAGAAGCGGTCCTGCATCCAGCACGAGTTGCTTGCAGGCGAATTTTGGGGTGCTCGGGGCAGCAGTGGGGGTGGAGGAGAGAGCAGCCATGGTCATTGGGCCGACCCCGACAGATTCGGAGAGGGAGAAGAGAAAATAGCGGATCACGTGTGGACGACGGTGCATTGGATCGGACTTGGCGGCCGACGGAGGAGTCGATCGCCGAAAGACGACCCTCGCCGTCGACCAGCCCGGGGAAGTTGTCTGCTTCAACGACCTCCACTACCCCGCCCCCCGACTGGCAGCGATGGCGAAGAAATCGTGAGTCCGTGCGCCCGCCTGAGCCGCGCGCCCTGATCCAGACGCTGATGTCACCCAGATTCCGTGTGGTCGTCCTCCCCGGAGATGGCATCGGTGCGTGCGCCTTTTCTGCTCATCGCCCCCCGCCGCGCTCACCGAGCTCTGCGCCAGGCCCCGAGGTCGTCGCTGAAGCAGTGCGCGTGCTCGAGGTCGTCTCCGCCGCCTCGGGCGACATCGAGCTCAAGCTCGAGACCCACCAGTTCGGCGGCTGCGCCATCGACGCGACCGGCGAGCCCCTCCCCGCGTCCACGCTCAAGGCCTGCCAAGAGGCCGATGCGATCCTCATGGGTCCGTCCTCCCCTTCTCGCCTTTCCGCCCAACCCCCCTTGACGCTCCGCGCCAGGTTCCATCGGCGGCCCTAAGTGGGGCGTGAACAGCAAGGTGCGCCCCGAGCAGGGCCTCCTCGCCCTCCGCAAAGCCCTCGGCCTCTACGCCAACATCCGGCCCGCCAACTTCGCGTCCGACTCCCTCCTCGCGAACTCGCCCCTCAAGCCGTCCGTCGCCGAGGGCGTCGACATCATCGTCGTCCGCGAGCTCATCGGCGGCGCGTACTTCGGCGCGCGCAAGGAGCTCGGCGCGGGCGCGGGCCCCGACGCCGACTCCGCCTGGGACACCATGGTCTACTCCGTGGGCGAGGTGCAGCGGATCACGCGCGTCGCCGCGCAGATCGCGATGCAGGCGAACCCGCCCCTGCCGGTGACGTCGATCGACAAGGCGAACGTGCTCGCGAGCTCCCGGCTCTGGCGCAAGGTCGTCTCCGAGACCCTCCAGGCCGAGTACCCCCAGCTCCAGCTCGAGCACCAGCTCGTCGACTCGGCCGCGATGCTCATCGTCGCGAACCCCAAAAAGCTCAACGGCGTGATCGTCACGGAGAACCTGTTCGGCGACATGTGCGTCGTCTGTTCGTGTCCCCAGATGGTGGTGCTGACGGCGGATGCGACAGCCTTTCCGACGAGTCCAGCGTCATTCCTGGATCACTCGGCCTTCTCCCTTCGGCCTCCCTGGCCGGAGCGCCCTCGGTTTCCGATGCCCTGTCTCCGGACTTCAAGTCCACTCCCGGTCTCTACGAGCCCATTCACGGATCGGCACCCGACATTACCGGCAAGGGGATCGCGAACCCCATTGGCACCATCCTCAGTGCTGCTATGCTTCTCCGCTACTCTCTCGGTCTCGAAAAGTACGCACAAGCTATTGAAACGTCTGTGCGCAAGGCCCTCGACGACAAGCCCTCTGGTGGCTTCGAGCTTCGTACGGCAGATCTGGGTGGTAGCGTTTCGACAAAGGAGCTGGGCGACAAGGTGGTGGAGATCCTCAAGGGGCTGCTGTGAAAACCTTGTACGTCTAACGCAAACTTGTACTATTGTAAGCTCCGATAGCAGCCATGATAGCGCAAGGCTTGCGTACAATGTCGATTCTGGACCTTTGTATACATAATATGTGGGATGGTGTCTAGCGTAAGGACCGACTGGGACCAGAAACATGGGATACGTAACAATGCAGCGACTGTAATCCGTACAGCGGCATACTAGAAGAAGATTAGTGGTCTCGCAAACCCGCTCACAGTGCCACGAGACTACTTCTCCCCGGCTCCCACTTTCTAGACGACTAAGACGTATGCTCCCCCTTCTCCATCAGTTCCACCATATCCATGTCGTGCTTGATGGGGATGATCGCATAGTCTGAGACCCCATCCGCGTCGGGCGAGAGGTTGCAAGGGTATCGCGCCTCGCCGATCGTCCCTGCCCAATCGAAATCAGCAATCCTCACGTACTTGTTCTTCCGGGCCCTGGAGGACGCATTCTTCCAACCATCCAGGAGTAAGACGTTGGGGGGCCGGATGTCTCCATGTACATAATGGTCATGCTCGATGAACTTGATGACGACCTCGCGACCTTCGGGGCCGTTGAGACGCGCGACGAAGACGCTGCGGTGGGCGCTTTGAATACGTTGATGTACGCCAACAGCCACCTGCATTGCTTCGTCTCTTCTTTGCACATGGAGCTCAACATCCCTATATTTACGGTCGAGGGCCGGGTATTGCGTTACTGCGTAGCCTTCGACCTGACGCGGTCACCGTCCCGTCAGACGCCGACTACCTGGACCTTCTTATCGCTGTGTCCCAGGTGGTAGGACAACCTGACACATCTCGACTTCCGATATACAAAGTGAGCTGCAATTGTTCTCCGTCCCCTCGGTCTTGCATCGAAGCGTTATAATCAGCCGAAGGATGCCATGTACGCCACTCACGGACCACGTCTGCAATCGCTCCTCGTCGTCCACGACTACGACCCGCGCATGTTCTGCGACAATATCACTGCCCTCATGTCGGAGTTGGATGACGACTCCATCCAGGGAGGCCTTGCCATTGAGCCCTCACAACAACCTGACACGACATGTGCTCTTGTGGTCAACATCGTTCCACCTCTGGGCTTCAAGAAGTTGCGGTGTCGTGAAGATGAGGACGAGAAAGAAGACGGAAATATACTCAACGATATGATGAAGAGTTTGTGATTCGTGCATCAGTGCCACTCGACACTGTAGGCTGACGAATGGCGTCTTTGCCTTTAGGGTTTCGACGGACGGTGAGAGCCAAAGACTACAGCGCTCCGTCTCAAGACTGCCCTGCTTCCCAATATCATCGAACTCACTGCGGTCCGGGCGCTATCATCGACGGTCGTCGCACAAGTATTGCCGTAAATCCCCTCCCGCCTCCACTCGAGATCTTCCACCCCGCTTTCGCCACCTTCAAGCGTCTGTCTCCAGAGCGTAATCTCTCTGTCCCTGAAGACTTCGTCAGGACAACTGCAAAGCTCGTGCACGCAGGATCTCACATCTTCCCTGACGTGTGGGAACCCGAAGACGGAATTTGTCGGCTTCTCTCCGCTCTGCTCGGCTTCTCTCTCCAGCAACCTTCCGACAAGACGGTCAAGCGAAAACGTCCGGGCTACTTCATTCCTTCCGCTGTTCCTCCCCCATTTTCCGGCACCGCTTCGCTAGCTACGATTGAGCTTGGTACAGAATCGGGGACTGGCGCTCTCCGCTCGACATCCGCGCACATAGCGCATTGGTGCGAAGTCGAACAAAAGGCGAGCCTTTCCATTCAGGCCATCGTCTGTCCATCCGGTCTTACGTTCGCAGACGATCCTTAACAGCTGCTTCACGCCCTCCTTCGTGATCGGCGTCGACGGCCCGCACATCTCCATCTCGGGTATCATGATCACGGGCAAGCCCATCGTACAACACTTGAGAGACATCTGGCTCTCGCAGGACCACCACCGTGACGGGGAAGTGCTCCTGGAGAACGCGCGGGTCCTCTACGCCCTCAAGCTCGCACTCGAACGCCTGCACACGTTCTACACTGACCTTCCTCTCCCGACGACAGACGCATATCGCTTCTTCCCTCTCGCCACTCGGTACTCAGCGCCAGACGGTCGTCCCGTGAACCTTACTTATATCGACGTGCTGAAAAAGCCCGGCGAAAGCTCCACCGTGTTTCTCGCGCGCCTGGACGTGCCGGAGCCGCGCCACGTTGTCGTCAAGTTCGCGGAACGGTACGGCGTCCGGGCGCACGAGCTACTCGCGGAGGCCGGCCTGGCGCCTGCCCTGCTCTACCACGGCGCCGTCTGGCCTGGGGAGGACTACCACGGCCACGAGATGGTCGTCATGGAGCACGTGGAGGGCGTCCCCGCGTTCGAGCCGGAGTGGCAGAGCGCCGCCGCGCCCGAGGTTGAGCGCGCGATGAAGATCCTGTATGACAACGGGATGGTTCATGGAGATCTGCGCCCGCCGAACATCTTGCTCTTGCACGGCTGGGAGCAGGGTGTTGAAGGCAGGGTGAGGATCATCGACTTTGACTGGGCGGGTCGGGAGGGCGAGGTGCGCTATCCAGGCCGATTGTCGAAGCAGGTGTTCCCGGTGGACGGCATTGACGACCACTCTCCGATTACTTACGCGCACGACAAAGGGATGTTAAGTCTGCTCCGCAGAGGCGCTCACCGCCCTTAGACCGTATCGAGTAGACACAATTGAGGGACTTCATGTAGCAATACAGCGACTGTAGCGCCGCATAGGAGAATATTAGTGGTATCGCAACGATATGCTAATGAAAACGATTAAACGCTTCGCCAGGAACAGCGCAATCAACAACAAAACCACCGCCAACTTCATGTAGCGCTGTACGACGGCGGCACGTCCGTCAGCTCCTGTGCTGCAAGCGCCTGCCCCGTCGCCGCCGCCGCCGACGACGACGACGACGAGCCCGCGGCGGCGACGGACTGCCCGTTCGCGTCGAAGCGGACGCCCGAGTCCGCGTTGTACGTCACCTCCTGTGGCACGCTCAGTATCCCCGCCTCCGCTGCCTTGCTCCGCCCGAGTTGGTTCGGGCTCGTGCGCACCGGCAGGCGAGAGCCCGCCGCGAGCCCAAGCTGTGAGGACGAGCTCGCGCTCCAGTCGCTCGCCGACGGGCCACCGCCGACCTCAGAAGTGGCGTAGTCGCTGAACGACTGCGGCTGGCGGGCGTCGCTGAAGGTGCCCAGGCGCAGGAGGGGAGGTTTCCCCCCGCTGGAGGCGCTGAAAACGGACTGGGGGCCGGGGGAGGGGGCGATGTTGGCGGTGTACGTTGAAGGAGAGGTTGATTGGGGGTAGGGAGTCGGCTTGACCTCTGAGGTAAGGGCGTTAGAACGACGATACGGGAAGAGTAGAGACGGGGCTTACCGTGATGGTCCTCCTCAAGAAGGTCCCCTGGATGGACGCGAGAGGCGTAGAAGAATGGCTTGCTGCCGCGGCGCCCGCGGCGCAAGTAGAGGCACCAGACGGCGAGGACGGCCCCGACGATCACGGCGACACCGCCGACGACACCGCCGACGATGGCGCCGACGGGTGTGCCAGAGCTGCTGGAGGATTGGGTGCCGACGACGGTGGTAACAGCCGGTGGGAGAGCTGCTGAGGTCGCAATTTGAGCCCCAGTGGCGGAGACTCCTGCCGCTGGCTGGTATGCGACCGCGTCCAAGTAGAAAGGATAGCTGTCGTTGGCCAAAACAACACTCATATCCAGCAAGTGTGTCCCGGATTTCAGTGACTCCAGTTTAAGCCAGACAACAGGGTAAGAAGTAGAGCCATTGTTGGGTACTGAGAGGATACCGAGGTCCTGCCCGTCCAGACTGAATTGCACTTGGGGAGGGTTGACGCCGTCAATTGTGGTGGCTTGACCCAGAACGGCCACAGCGACGCCTGGGCATCCGCCATCAATGACGAGTTGTGGCGGCGCGGTAAGAAGGTCTTACCGTCGAAACTGAACGTTGCGTTTGCTCCTGTAAATCCTGCTGTAATGGTATTCTGCCAAGTGTTCTGGGCCTTCTGCGAGATCCACTCGCCCGACGTGTAGTTGATCGCCCCGGGCCCGGCTGGATCCTGGTCGTCCGCAATGATAGTGTTCCCCGACATGTATTTTCAAAAAGAGCAAGAGGAGGAGAAACCGAGATGATCGAGGAAGAGAAAGACGGGGCGAAGCGTGGTGTCGCGGCTGGAGCAACGACCATATACGTGAACGGCATGCTTTTCATATCCTTCCCGATATCATTCACCGCCCGAGATGTTCGGGCGGCGACAGCACCACAGCCCTGTGAGATTCTCGTTCAGGGCTCATGCCACCGCGTGAACAACGAAACGAGCACCGGCGATGCAGCAGTCATGACCGATTCACATGGCCGATGACTATCATGTCCCTCTTCCTTAGCAGTGCGAACGATGGGAGATGCACCCCAGCAATGCGTAATGTGCTGCTAATATGCCTGGGGCCCCAAGCTAGTGAGCATACAAGCACAAGTACGACCAACTATACGTACTGCCTGCAGACGTGGAGCGATACTAGATCTAGGGCGCGGGTATCTCGGCTGATGAAATTCCGCGTTCACCAAGGGGTCGCGCTTGCGATTTTCAATATGTCGGACAGTGCGCCCGCCGGGGATAGAGGTGATGAGCCGGAGTGCTCTTGTACGGCGAGTGGTGGTTCCGGCAGACCTCCATTAGCGCTCCCGGGGACTCCCGCAGAGAGCCGCCCGCGGATTGAGACCGACCCGTGCGGCAGCTGGTGAGAACAAGGCTGCAGCGTCCCACTGACGGCGTCGACTAAAATCGACTACACCCCCCTCACACTGCTGTCCTCCGAGTCGACGGAGGTCCGCGACACCGCGCACGCAACACTACCTCTTGCGAAACCCCGAGCTCGCCGCTCGGAGTTCCCGAATCCCTGATATGAAGCTGTGGTGCACGCTCGTGTCCACACTGCTCTTCACCTCCGGCGTAGCGCACGCCCAATTCCACCCCAGCGCCCCCTCGCGCTATGTCCGCCTGCCCTCCTTGCGCGAACAGGCCGAGATTCTCGACGGCTGGCGCGACGCGCGCCTCGCCAACATCCCCGCCCTGCTCACCAAGTACGGCATCGGCGTCTGGCTGGTAAGCTCGTCTTCCACCTCTCCCTGCACCCCATCATGCCCACCCGTCCCCGTGCCGACTGCAGACGAGCCAGCGCGAGCTCGCAGAGGACACCCTCTGGTGGTCCGTCAAGGACGCGACCGAGTACGCCGCCCACCGCCGCACCGTCCTCCTCTTCCACCGAAACGCCTCCTCCTCCGCGCTCGTCCCCGGGCGTCCGAACACGAACCCGCTCCGCTGGGTGGACAACACGGGCGCGGTCTGGCCCGAGCTCCGAGCCGCGCTCGCCGCGCTCGCGCCCCGCCGCATCGCGCTCAACACCGACCGGGACGTCGGCGCCGCCGGGGGCTGCACGTCGGCGAGTACGAGGCGCTCGCGGGCGGGCTCGGCGAGCGCTGGATGGAGCGCGCAGTGAACGAGCCGATGCTCGCGATCGAGTACGTCGCCGCGCGCGTGCCGGGCCAGCTCGCGTACTACCGGAAGCTGCAGGAGACGACCTGGGCCTTGATCGAAGAGGCGTTCAGCGAGCGGGTGGTCGTGCCGGGAGTGACGACGACTGAGGTGGGTTTCTCGCACCGGCTGCGCGCGCGACATCGCTCGAAGCTCACTGGAAGGGTGTGCGCAGGACGTCGAGTGGTGGTACCGCGAAAAGATGCTGCTGCTGAATGTGACGACGTGGAACCACCCTCGTGTGTCGGTGATCGTACCCGAGTCGTTCCCCGGATGGTCTGGGACCAAGGACATCATTCAAGAGGGAGATCTCTTACATGTCGACTTTGGCATCACCGCCATGGGCATGAATACTGACGTACAGCATATGGCGTACGTCCTGCGAACCTCAGTGAACGAGACAGACGCTCCCGTCGGTCTCAAGGAAGGTCTGAAGAAGGCCAACCGCATGCAAGAAATTGTTTTAGACAAGATGGTTGCCGGGAAGACTGGGAATCAAGTCCTTCAAGAGAGCCTGAACCAGACCACGCTGGAAGGTATAGAAGGCCAGATCTATTGCCATCCGATAGGAGACTGGGGGCACGCGCCAGGAGCTGTTATGGGTACGTCAAGCTGTTCCTAGTATTCGCTCTTGTACATCTGATGTGGGGTCCAGGGTTCATCAACCTGCCAGAGAATGTCCCAATCCTGGGCGAGCTTGCCATATTACCCAACACGTACTACAGCATCGAGCTCTTCGCATCCTCCTTCGTTCCCGAACGCAACGAGACACTGCGCTTCAGAGTCGAAGAGAATGCTTTTTGGAACGCGACTACAGAACGTTGGCAGTTCGTTTGGGGCCGTCAGGAGAGGCTACACCTCGTCAACGCAACGGCCGCTGCCGTCTCCCAGCCTCGCCCACCGGCGCTTGTTGTACAACCACAATAATTTCTCGCGAGGGCACAAGGACGTGCAAGCAGGAATCTCCTAAGGAGAGCGGGCGCCGTGGGGAGAGTGGGCCGAGTCGAGATCCTCCGTTAACGCCATCCACAGTGTACCGAAGCTAGTGTATGGACATTACAACATGGCGACTGTCTTCCGGACATACGGAACTAGAACATGTTGGCGAGCTTGCTCGCCGCCTCGCGAGCGTCGAGCCGTGGGCGTGTCGGCGTTCGCACCGTCGCGGACATGTACGCGGGCCGCGCCATCCCGAGCGGGTCGAGGTCGTTGGCAAGTGTCGCGGAGACGGAGTTTGAACGGCCGGGGATGGCGGACGATACGAACGTGGACGCTGACAGCGGGTCTCCGCCGCCGCCAAGAGGGTGCGAAGAGCCCGATGGAGGGCCGGACGCGTGCAGTGGCGAGATGGGTGCCGACTGGTTGGATGGCGGCACGGGAGGAAGTCCGGTTCCAGGAGGCTTCGGAGGTCCGGTGGAGGCAAGGGGCGACATCGGTGGCTTGACAAACATCGACCTGGTGCCGTCCACCAGTCTTCCACCGAGCGGCGGCCCATCTGAGGTAGGACGCGCGAAGGATCCGCTTGTGGTCGCAGCAGAGGAAGGACCCGCTCCTGGGGATTGGGGTGGGATGGGCGCGCGGCCCGGCGCTGGGCCGGCGGACAATGGTCCTTGAGGGAAACCATTCGTGTGCGACGAGGGAGCAGGTGCATGTGAAGGTGCGATCATGGAAGAGGTCACGCTGAGAGGAGGGGCTAGCGGGGGAGGACGACGAGATTCTACCGGTGGGTTCGAGGCGGGACGTTGGATGGGTGGGTTGGAGAAGTCTTCGAGAGGGGGGACGTAAGCAGGCCGAGGGGCGGTTACCGGCTTCTGGGGGACATGTTTCTTGTCCGCGGCGCTCACTTCGGGTCGAAGTGCTTCGAGTTCGCGCAGATGTTGTCGTTCGTACATGATGGTCGACCGGACGTGTTCAACCAAAGCAGCTGTGACGTCTTCAGTCACTATACGCCTGTGACGTTCCAGAGCGCGATGAAGGTTTTGGGATATGCCCTCAGCACGTCTCGCAAGTATCTGCTCATACTTGTTCGCCTAAACAAAAGTCAGTGGGTGGTCTTTTCAGGGTACTACCGTCACGCACCTCTTCCATTTCCTCCAGTGCCTCGTCTACCCTCTGGGGGCTGA